AATAAATAATAAATAATCTTTATGGGAGATGTGCTGCAGCGCATTACTAAACTACTGTACTGGGATTAAGTACAGATTTGAGGTAATTGTATTTACTTAATATTTTATTTCTATCCTCTATACAGCCCCACCCTCTGGAACTCCATCCCAAATGTTCCTCTCTGGACACTTTCAAAAATCAACTAAAAAACCACCTCTTTGCCACGGCATTCAGTCTAGATTGACCTTCTTTTGTTGTTCTGTTGTTTGTTGTGTCTCTGTAGTTATGTGTAAAGCGTCCTTGGGTCCTGTGAAAGGCGCTAAAAAAATATAAGTTATTATTATTATTATTACTCCACTACATTTCAATATTATTTTTTCCTCCATGACAGCTGTACTATATACAGTATGTACTGTATATTCTGGTTACGTTGCAAATTTGCTATATATGCATTTTTACGAGAAAAATATGTAGCTGGTATATTTCAACTAATTTCAATGCAAATTACTGCAACTTGCCTTTTTTTGTTGTTTCGAGAAGCAGACACTTTTTAAACATTTCTATTAAAACAAGTTGATGTTTTCAGACTGCAAAATAAGGTTTATAGGATTAGTGACAGACAGAAATGTTTGGAGGGTTAGTCTAAAGTATTTCACCAACTACAATAAAAATGCTCTTGTGTAAAAAAAATCCTAAACATGACAAAAGTCATGACAGCTTCTGCTCTACATCTACTTTAAGTATCAAGTACGATTTTTAATGCAGGACGTTTACTTGTAACAGTGTACTTTTGCATTGTATTACTTTTACTGAAGTAAATGATTTGCATACTTCTTCACCTTTTGTGAACCTGGAGCATTCAAGCCCCTGAGGGTCTGTTGTCAGTTACAGATGAAGTACTTGGAGCGCAAACCACATCATTTATTACTCACAGGCATGGTCACTACAGCCGCCTGAAGCCGTCTGTCCTTTGAAGTAGTCCTATCTGAATGATAAGTCTTATATGAATGACAAGCCAGAGAGGGGACAAGTGTTCACAGGCCTGAAAGCCCCCCAACGGACGCTAGCCACAGGGCTGAAAGGGCATTTGCATTTTGGTGGTCTGATGTGGTTTTTGGAGAACACAGCAGGGTCAGATTTCATGTAGAACTTGATTGTAGTGTCAATTCTAATGATTGCTGCTGTATAAAGACTGGAGGGAGGGGAAACAACCTGGCTCTGTCCAAAGTTCAGTCCACCAACACCTCTAAAGCATCTGCATCATGTTTGTTTAATCTCAACACAAACAACGTACAGCTGGAGCTATGTGCTGGAACTATTTCAGCCGGCTTCAGTCACTATAGTCCCAAGGAGGTTATCAGCTTTGGTACCATCAAACCAAACATGAACTCACCGACAGAGATGCTGCACTGAAGTGGATACACTGCTGTTTGTCAAGAAATAGTTCCTAAAAGTTTACAATTCATTTTTGGTCCCATTAGACGGTGTGTTTTTGGCTGGCTCTTTCCCCTGCTTGTATGTAACCATAGCCTGTATAAAAGAAGGGGCGTAGCCAGCTCACTGTCTGATCATGCTTTCTGTGTCAGTCACTATGGCATCACTTCTCTATGAACAGCTGTGTCTTGATGTAGGGGTCGCTCTCTTCTTGGTGTTTCCTTCACTGCTCATGCTCACTACCTGTTTGCTCTTTAATTTATTCAAAACAAACAAGAAACACAAAACTTGATGCTTCCTGTGCCAGAGGAGTTTTCCAGAACAGTACATTGACTGACTAAAGTGCAAATGATAAAGCTTTCAGAAACAACTTTAACAAATGAATATTCCAAATACTCAATGTTACGCTCCCCTGACCCTGCCTTCATGCATTCCACTTGTACACTGGTGGTTATATTGCTGGGGAGTTTTCCCATAGGGCATCGTCATGTGCTGTCATTTTGGTTAGCTATAAATAGTGGCCATGTCTTCCCATGCAGATCCAACAATGCTCACGGTCCATGCAGTATGAGCCTCCAGTTAAGTATTGAAACAAGGGTCAGTGCTAAAAGTAGCAAACAACACAACAGCAGTGGCTTAGTGGTAGTAAAGGGATGGTTAACTGGTACTAGCTAGCTTCAGTGACAACAGAGCAGACAAACTATTAGAGCCGAGTAAAGACCAGACAGTGTGAGCATGTACGCCTCAGACCAACATGCTGTTTACAGAAAATCTCCTTAGCGTGGAAACGGACAGTATTACAGCTGAAACTCTACAAGAATTTAAAGCTGCGCTGATTATTTTCTATTTATCAACAAAATCCATATGGTTCGTACTCTAGGACCACGATTATCCACAGAACAAATCGAAGATCATGTAATGACCTGAATGGACCAAAATAGGAAACTTCCATCAATAATGACTACTTTCAGTAGCCATGTAATAGGAAATGTCATATCCATATATCACAAAACAACACCGTCAGTTTCAGCAGATGCCCCTTGTCCTACAGATGGGATGGGAGATCAGAAAAATCCTTTTACACTATTTCTTGTTTAATTTGCAGGACTTACAAAGGTCATATATAAAGGTCACAATTTTGGCCTTAAGGGTCAGGGAAAACACTGAAGCCTCTTTACCACCCCATTGGGCAAATCTGGTATCTTTTTTGGTACCAACTCCGTTGAGGTTCCAAGCGAGCTGAGACGATACAAAAAGGTGACATGAAAACCCTGCAGACTGCTGATTGGTTAGAGAGAATCAGCCCATATTAGAATAACCTAGCTAGCAGCTGCTGTGTTTACAGCTGAGCTGCTGCTGCTAACGTTAACTTAGTTTAGTTGCTCAGTTTGTTTTTAGTTTAGGATTCCTTCAGTGTTGACTGTTCAGGTTTCTACCGGGAGCTGAATTACCTTCAATGTTGTCTCCTCTCCAAAACAAACAGGCCCACTCATTAAAATTTTAAAAGCAGTTTCATCCTAAAGAATTTTTGTCTCTTCAGCGGACACTGTCCGTCAGCGAGCCGACTTCTTGACAGGAAAATGGCTGTTGGCTGGGAAAGCGGTGTGCGGCATCCCTATGATGTAAAAGAAAAAACATTCTTCCTCTGTACTCCATGAACATCCACAGGAAATGTAATGTCAGTAAAGCTATTAAAAATCTTTGTCAAACTGAAGAGTTCATCCTCTGGGGACCAACAACATTTATAGTTAAGACACACTGGACCAAACGTGAAAATTGTGCACTAGATGAAAGGTCAGCAGCGTCACCAGAATCATTAGGAATCATAGTTTTATATTTAAATGGGTCTTTCTTCCTTTTCTCTCAGAATCCAGAGAACCACCTGTCTCCAAACACAAGGAGGAGTTTCAGCTTCTCGTCTCTCCGCATAAAAAGTAAGATACTGGATCATTATTACACATTCACATTGTTTTCACTTAATTAAAGATGACACCTGCATCTCTATCAGCCTGTTATTTACTGACCACTCTTCTCTGCAGAACGGCACAACAGCAATGATGAGGGTGGATTTACACGACGCAGAGGGCTGCTGTCTTTTTCATCAGTACGAGAGACATCCAGAAAAGGTAAACAACATATAATAAACTATATACTTTCATTAGACCCTCTCTTACAAGCTTAAATCTGCTAAGGTGATACCAATAATCACATACAACTCCTAGAGTCAGTCCTGGATGAAGACGAGGCCTCGCAGGACCATGTAAAGAAGACAGGTATGTATGAAGGTCAAAAAGCTAAATGCAGTATAGCGTTCTTTAAAGGTAGAGCACTGTATCAGCTGTTTCACTCATGCTCTGCAACCGCTGACCCATCCATCAGCTGCTTTGCGCCCAGCTGATCAGTAATGTCCAATCATATTGATCCAGGTGTAGAGTGTGGCTATCATAATACTTTTAAGGTGTGTTCTCACAGAATGCAAAGGGAAGTTTAGACACAGTCAGTGGAGGTGAAAAACAGCTTCGGTCTAAACACACCTTTCATCTGCTGATGCACCCACGCTAAATGCTGTTCGCTGCTGCAGCTGTCTCTACCCGCCTCCTCATGTGCTCCGAATGTTGAGCAGTTTAAAGAATTAATGTTCATCTATTTGTTAGGCCGATTAGTTCTCCAGCACATTCTTTGTTGCTGCTTTGATGCTTTGACAGTTCCCCTGAGAAATAAACCTTACCACCATTTGCTTTAAATGTTCAGTTCCTCAGTTTGATGGACGTCAGATGTATTTTTAAAAGTGCCGTATACCTTTCTGCGTTGTGTTGCTGATTCGCTTGTTCCTGCAGCTAAGTCTGTTTAGCCTGGCCTGAGCTCCGAACCCGCTTGAGTGGTAAAAACCTACCCGGTCTCCCAAAAATTACAGTTATATACTACTCAAGATGTTTTAAAAGAAAGACAATGCTGCCTGTGTTAAAACAACAAAATGTTTAAACTGAAAGTCCATTGTTTCCCTCACAGTGTTGGTATGGGTAACTGACGCATTTATTCTTTAATGATATCAACTGTAAACAGTCAGCTGTGACTTCAAGTACGAGAAAGGGTTTGTTTTCTTTGTCAATATTTAACCAGAGACAAGATCAAACACCTCCACACAACTTCTATGAGGTGAAGAACAGGCAGCAGTAAAAACATTTTAGTACGTAGACCTAATTTTTGAGAGACGGGGTTGTGGTGTTTGATTTTCAAATAAATGGGCCGAATCTGTTCTCGCTCTTGAATACAGGAACACGCAGAAGCAGTGCGCCACAGTTCTGTGGTTCTGACACAGATGGAGGTAAATTTCTATTTTCCACTAAATCCCTTTAAGAGACCAAACTGAGCTGACTAGACACAGATAGGACAATAAAAGAGCCCATAGGCCAGTAACAGTTTAAAGATGTAAATGCTCCGTACTTGTATAGCGCCTTTCTAGTCTTTTCGACCACTCAAAGCGCTTTTACACTACATCCACACACTGAGCCTAAGGGCTCAAACGGAAAGTAACATTCACACTCACTCATAGACTGGCGGAATAGCCGCCAGGGGCAATTCGGGGTTCAGTATCTCGCCCAAGGACACTTCGACATGCAACCAGGGGGAGCCAGGGATTGAACCGCCGACCTTCCGATTAACGGCCAACCCGCTCTACCTCCTGAGCCACAGCCGCCCCAGATGTACTGACATATTGATTTTGAAAAAAACTTTGAAAGAAGATTGGACCACAAGGAATAATAAGGAATAAATCTTTGAACTCAAATACAGGTTTTCACATGTTACTACATTTTGACACACCATGCAGTATTTTAAATGTCAGTGATATTATCAGCCTATATATCAAAACCAGATCCAGATCCTAAACAATCAGCATTTGTTTCCCAGTGCAAAATGGTGCTGTGGCCAAATAAAGAACTGTCATGAGAAGTATTACCAGGCCTGTGAAACCAGTTGTATTATGTCTTCCTCTGAAGTCTGTTGTGTAATATATTGTACATACTGTATATGCTCACCTGGCAAACCGAGAAGGCTAAGATTGTACAACGTGGACCAGAAACTGACTGCATATATTCAGGCAGTACTGGAAAGTCTGAAATGTGAAATACAGGCCTGGTATAAGAATCTATCTGTACAGTCTAAATCCAAACTCACAAAGACTGCCATAGTAATAATAACGGGGAGGGAAGAACACAGACCTCCAAACTATTCATGAGCAGTCAGTTAAGGAGCACAGAGTCCTAGACCATGTCCTTCACTATGAGTATGAGCTTTTACCATCAGGCAGAATATACAGAGTCCTCAAATGTAAAAATTAATTTGTGCCCTTTTCCATCAGCCCTCTTTATATAGAATAAGAATAAGAGTCTGTTACACACTTAAATGTGCAATATACTGCTACCTTTCTGTGTAATACTTTTAGGCCTGCAACAGAGGTATTTGAGCAATATGGTGAGGCTGGCAACTGGGTAAAATGTTTTTCAGATGTCTGTTTATCTGTTGATTGTGTTTTTTATTGTTTGTAATGCATGCAGCATCACAGAGCCAAAAACAAATTTTCCTATTCACTCTCAAGTCATCACATATGGACGCATTATCAAAAAGGCGTCAGTTTGTAACGCACTGGAAGCCCTGTAGCGTAACTTTTGAAGTCCAAATAAGGAGGTGGTTGGGGTGGACAGTGAGCCAGAAACCAGACTTTCACGCAGGAGAGGGGTGTTCGTTTCCAGTGTGAAATAAAAAAAGTCAACATTAAGTGTTTTTATTTAAGTTATGTAGGTTACATAGGATACACAAGTAACATAACTTAAGTAAGTGAAGTCCAGTAAGTAACTTTTAAGCCAAACCACGATCTTTTCCTAAACCTAACCAAGTAGTTTTGTTGCTAACTAGACCTACGTGTAAAAAAACGAAGCGTACCCAGGGTTTTACAAAGCGACGCCAAGGAGTCTTGACCAAATGGCCATCTGTAACGAGCTGGGAGTGAGAATGCGTTGCCTCATGGGGACAATAAAGTATATCGTATGATATATGGCTGCCAGCTTTCTGAACGGCTCTGAATTTCCTGTTCATTCACTCTACTGACGTTTCAGAGAATACTTATTAACAAGAGTTTTAAGTTTAACAACTCAGAACTCAAAACCTGTAGTACAAGTACAAGTGAACACCGCTCAGAGATGGAGTTCCTACTTGGGCACTCGTCAAATCCACCATTTCCCCCTATTTGTGTCATGAAGAAGCAGACGTCACTCAATAATAGCAGCACCCATAGAAGCACATGTAAACCATAAACTGAAAAGCAACATAAAGTAGGCCTATATTTTCCTGTGTTTAATTAAGATAATACATATTATAATTTTAAGTATAGCTGGTTACTGAAAGTCATCTGCACAAACGTTATTCAGGAAAATGTTTACAATGAGAAAACAGTAGAAATACACAATTTTCTGACTTTTGCAGATCAACAATAACCATTCATTTAGCTGACGCTTTTATTTAAAGTGACTTACAATTGCTATACATGTCAGAGGTTCCACACCTCTGGAGCAGCTAGGGGTTAAGTATTTTGCTCAGGGACATATTGGTGTATCACTGTGAACTTGAACCTGGGTCAATCATACCAAAGGCTTATCCACTATTCCATCACCACCTCGACTGAGATTACCGACTAATGTGTCGAGACAGGAACACAGTTAATATGTTGCAATGTCACTCGTTTTCATTAACACCAATGGCCAGTACTACAAAGGGAGTTCAACCTACTCAGAGTTAACTCATGCTCGGTATTTCTCCAGAGGAATGCACGTTGGTACTGTCAGGAAATTATGAATGTAAAGACAAGTTAACGGCTAAATCTAATATCGTGGAGGGTGACAAAGCCAGGAAGGCTTGTTGGCATCACATGGAGTAAATTTGTAGCCTAATTATCTTCACAGTGTTCTTATTGTAGTTCTCTATTCTGTATTTTATGGGCTCTTCTTTTATGTGTAATATGATTAAGATGTAATTGGGTACAACTGCACAGAAGGTCCATTGTAATAGAAAAGAAGGAGCCAGCGGAGAGGGGTGATAATCCGAGACAGAATTTAATTTCCAAGATTAATCTACAAGTAAAAAAACATGAATATTCTCTGACATTATAGTCACACATTTATGAGAGAAACTTCACTTTGCAAGGCTGCAACATCACACACACGTCTGCCCTGTATTATGCATGCACTGGAATATTAAACTTTGCAATCGGATTTAGCAGTGGGGAAATACTCCTGAGTTTAGCCCACAGTCACTACCATGCACCTTAGAGACTTTGCCTTGGATTGGGCGTATTCAGAAGAAAACAGTGATATTTGATTTTTTTATGACATTAATTTCGGGGAATTTCAGATTTTTCTTCTTGTAGGCTAAATTTCACACTTTCATAGATTTTTTTTTTCTTGGTTATTAACCCCGACCCTGGCTCCCTATTTTTTGGACACGTAAAATAGTTTATCTAAATACGTGAAAACACTTAGGAGAATTCAATTATAGACTACAGACGGGCTACATCTAATAAACTATCCCGTTAATTAATTAAGATTCCTCTCTAAAATCACTGAGGCTGCAGGACTCGCTGTCTGAACCTAATGCTCATGTGTTCAGAACTTCAATGCAATCCCAGTGGAACAAATCAGGATGAAATCTAAACATTTTATGAAGTGGTGTGTATTAATATCCTACTTCTCATCATTAACACTGAGTACAGATGTGGAGTGTAGTCCCCGTGCAGGGTTACCTCGAGTTAACCATGAACAAAACCTGCTCGGAGCAGTTTAGAGATGCAGCGTAAATTGCCATGGCAACAGACCCCGGGTAACACCTATCCACTTTTTGTAGTACGGGTAATCGGGAAGTTACACCCGACGTAACAAAGTTACTCCTGAAGTTACCTGGATAAGCCAGGTACCCCGCTTCGTAGTACAGGCCACAATTCACTGCTGACTTGACAAAGAAACATCGGTTTTTTTACGGTCAGCCGTGATTTTTGTTTACGTTTGCCGTCATGCACATCATGGAACGCTTTGAGGATGGTAGTCGTAAATTTCCACTGGGTAAGTCCAGCTGTGACCGAAACTCAGCATAAGCCAACCTTGTCCCATAAGTCACAAAAATGACTTCCGACCTAATGACATGTAGGATGTCTCCATGACATTGTGAATAAAACATGTTTTTAAGGCTGACATCATACAGACTTGTGGCTTCTACAGGAGCATAATCGTTTCACAGTTTCAGCTTGGGGTCAGCCCACCTTGGATGGTTATGATGTTATCGCTAATTAAAAAAAAACGTATATATTGAGTTGCATTATGGGAATTGTAGGAACCAGCGTTTCTGGAGCTTAACCACAGATGCTAAAAAACAAGTGGACGTAGCCACCATGACGTCACCCGTTTCTTTGTAGACTTAACATTTTGAAGCCTCCAGTTTGGCAGATTGGTCGTCGCCATTTTGTTTTTTTGGAACCAGACGTGACCATATTTGGACGAGAGGGTGGAGCTAGCTAGCTTGGTAAGCAAGGTGCATCTGTAATTCACTTGAACTTTTTTGTGATATTACCTGGGATGCAAAATTTCGCTAGCAGGCTTAAAACAAAATGTAAAGTCAGGCTATACCTGCTGCATACATTTTTACAATTGTCTAATAAGTCCCCCAGTTTTATGAAAGTGTACAACTAAATTACTGTCGTGCCTCTATAATCCATCTATATCCAGATAATTTCGTTTGTTACTAGAACTACAGTGAACAAGTTAGCTATTATTAACCCTCTGATAACAGATGTGATCGAAGGCTTCTTGACAGATGTGTGAACTTTGAAGGTCTTTGTAAACCTTTTGTAGTTCTGATAGGTGAAAATATTTCTCTATCTGCAAGCTGAAAGTACTAGTGAACAGTGTTTTCAGAGTGGAAGAGGTGAGTCTGACTCAGCTCTCTGATGGCTAAAAGCTGCTGGTTGTTGCTTCAGTGTTACACTGTGTTGAGTTTCTGTTGTTGCTGAGCTGTAACATCTATTCGATGAACTTTCTTGGCGGGAGTCTGTTGTTCTGATGTCTTTAAACCAGCCATGACCGATACACCGTAAACATGCTGATTTAATAGCAACGAAGACGGTACTAGCCGTTTGTCGCACGTGACGTGAACGCAGCAAGGGAGCGGTAGAGGACCGCTTAGCGCGCGCACAGCAGTTTGCCGGAACCCCATAAGGATGCGGTGTGTGTGCGGGAATGGACCCGATGAAGATCCGCTGCGGTGCTGCTGAGAGGGACAGGACTGATAACTCACGGGGTGTTTTGCGCGGAGCAGTGATGAGTGAAGCGGTACCGAGGAGGAAGAAGGCGCGAGCGATCCTGAAGAGTAGATGGAGTGAGTAACGTTAACGTTACGTGAGTGACGGACACAGATCAACAATGTGAACAGTATTAATCGGTTACACGCGGATAAAAAAAGAGTTAACTGTTAAACAGGTGATTTGTTTACCATAACGTGCGATGTTTACCTGTCTCGAGCAAGTTGTTGTGCCCACACGTGTATCAGGTTAAGGAAGTACTGCCCAGCCAACGGTGTGTTTTTGTAGTTAAAGTGAAATAAAGTGCAGCACGGGACATATAAAGCATCCGAATTGATTAGTAGACTCCAGTGATATGTTTTGTGTCTCTGTATCTCAAACGACTGGGAGGGGAACAGTAAATCAACTTTTTACTAAATGCAGTTTGGTGTTATATTTCCTTTAAAGTGGAGTCATATTCCCGTAAAACAACATTTTTAACCTGTTAAAGGTGTCGACAGGATTTTAGTCTGTGACAAGTGCACGTACTAAACTTCAACATGTTGCCAAACTTCATATCTGTAAACCTGCCTTTGATGTCAACTCTTAACTTTGCCACTGTAGGATTTACTGTGACATTTCTTTGAAGCCTCAGGAGCTGAACTGACAGAGACATTTCTGAGTTGTTGCAGTTTAGGAAGCAAACTCCAAGTGAGGTTCTGCATAATGAGCCAGGACAACAAAAGGATGAAATTTAGAAGCTAAGAACTGCTTTATTATGAATATAACTGGACAAATAGAAAAAAAAACATTGAGTGGGATTTTGGGGTATATAAATAAACTGGCTTGACTTAAACAGATGTGTAGACAGATTTGAAGTTTGCTGTTTGCAGGTTTTCTGAAAGAAAAACAACACATGTAGAGGATTCAGGCAGTGTTTAGTGATTGCGCCATTCCTTTTCTTGTAGGCTTCGCAGTGTTGTGACACGTTCAGAGCTTCACGGTGAAGCTGTTAACCAGGGCTGTTATTTACACCCACATCATAGCTGAACAGCAGCAGGGCCAAGAGCGTGTAGGCTCATGTAGTTTATATCAAGAGTATAACAGAGATTCTACAACCTGAGAGAGTTTCTGCTGTGTATGTTGTGTGTTTCTGTGTAGCCAGCTGAGTTGTGTAACTGCGAGGCGTTGGGTGGGTAAACACTGCCGTTGCTATTGACACAGTGCAAAACCTCGTACTGTCAGAGGTCATGGGTTGCAGACTTGAGGCTTCAGCTGTTGTCAGGAACCAGGGAGGCGAGCGAGATTGAAAGTGAAACTGGCCAAAGTCCAGCGGGAGTCCTGTTATGTCTGCTCGGTCTGCAGGTCACCGAGGATACGTCCAGCTGATCTTCTGTGTCAGCTCACTTGGCTTTTTAACGCATGATAGATGTGAAACCAAACGTCGCAGCAGTGACGACCACAAGAATGCAGTTTGTGGTGAAGTGTTACTAGTTTAGTCTTAAAGTGAAGCTCTTGGGATTAGCACTCCGGTTTCTGTGTCTCGTCTTTACCAACAGAGTTCAACACAGTGATTCATTAAACAGGATCTCTTTTTCCACTCAGGACAAGTTCAACCCATATTTGTCCTTGCCGGGCTGATCTGGGTTGGTCCCTTTTATAGTAAACGGGCAGAACTGCAGCGTGTCGTGTCAGGACACTTAGAAATGTGCTTTTGTTGCAGCATTAAAGGTACAAATGACTGTTTATGTGGTTGTGATGGGTTTTGTTATATGTGCCAGTGTTTGGAGGTGGATGTTTGTCTTTGCTCCTCAAATCTTTATTATTTAAAACCTTCAACAGCAAACATACAGAGGAGCACTCCTTCTGACAGATAAGTGATTTAAGAGAATTTATCAATCTTCTCGTATTCAGAATTTTTCATGCATGGAATAGAGTGGTGTTCCAGACTAGAGCTGCAGCGATAAATCAACTAATTGATTAGTTCTCAACTATTAAATTAATCAGCAACAATTGTGATAATCAATTAATCATTTTGAGTCTAAATTCTCTGATTCCAGCTTTTTAAATGTGAATATTTTCTGGCTTCTTTCCTCCCCTGTAACAGTAAACTGAATATATTTGGGTTGTGGACAAAACAAGACATTTGAGGACGTTATCTTGGGCTTTGGGAAACACTGATCGACATTTTATGGACCAAACAACTAATCGATTAATCGAGAAACATGATCAACAGATTAATCGATAAGTAAATAAGTGTTAGTTACAGCGTTAGTCTAGACCTTTCTTAGGAGTCGTATACAGATAGCCTGCCGTTCACCCCTGGAGGAAAACACCGATTGAATTGTAATGCCAAATCAATTGTTTTGTGACAGCAGGTTATCAATAGTTAAAAATGATGTGCAAGGAAAACGTAATGCAGAAAGTCTGAGAGGTTTGGGATAACACAAATATGAGACATAAATCCAAGGGACTATTTCTGTGGTAGAACGTAGTTCTTGTGTGAGATTGTCTGCAGCCACTGGTGTAAAGTAATAATGTATGAATACATGATAATAATAATACAGATGTTAAAATTGCAGAACTGTTCTGCATCTCCAGTTTGGATTTTATCTCCAGCTGAAGAAAGATGAATCTGAGATTTAGGACATATTTCCTAGTTTGTAAAACCGGAAAGTAAGTAGTCTAGTAAAGAGAAGTCTACATTTAAGACCGCTTCTTCCTTGTGTGGTTTATTTACCATCTGAAAGATGAATTTGAGTGAATCTTCACTTTGAAAGCTGTTTTTTCCCACAAGTCCTGAATACAGCAGTAAAAATTGTTCCCTCAGAGTTGGAAGTAAACAGATGATTCAGCAGGCGCTGCAGTAAACACAGGGATTAATAAGGAAGACCTGTGTTGCAAAACCTCCTCCTTCATTGGGCAACAGGCATATGGTAACAATCCAAATGATGCACTCGGGGAGCGTTAATCTGCTAAAGATCCACAACAACCAGAGCCACGCAGAGGAACACACAGGTTACAGGTACTGAGCTTCAGTATGTGTGACAGCAGTCCGGCCTGGATTCAGGAGACCCAGCTAGTTTTCAGGCCTCAGACTTCACCAGCGTTACAATCAGCACAGTGCTCTGTATAAACGCTCCTCAGAAGAGTCCCTCAAAGCACTCTTTAGCACAGTTTATTTTAACTCACTGGCTTCTTAAACTTTAAATTCATTGTCACAGTTTTAGAGACGAGATACCTTCAGCTGCACATTAAAGTGAATTTGACCCATGGCTACAGCCTGACGTTTAAATAACACCTGGACATTTATTAGGAAGGTATTTAAACAGTAGTGCTATCACATGGGCATCATTACGTCTCTTGTACAACTTAACTTTAGGTCCTAGGAAATGCTGATACTTGTTTTATTGCTGAACAATAAATTACCTTATCTCATGTATCATACTGCGCCTACTTTCATACTAAAGTAGTTCAACATCTGTTGCATCATACACATGAAGTCTCGACGTATACGATATATAAAGGAAACTCACATTTCAGAGTGATGAACAAGCTTTTAAACCAGACTTCTCAGATCCTTCCTGGCTGAAAATGACGCGTGGACGCAGACAGAAGACGAAATGAGTAATGTAGGTAACAGTGTGTACAGCAGTAAACATGCTTGTCTCAGGACCGTTTATTCACCTGACTTTCCTCTGTGTTGTCCAGGTGAGCAGCCCAAAGGTAACCTCATCTCTGATGTCACTGGGAGACACAGTAAGTACAGCAGCCGGAGTAACAAGGGCTCTTGTCTACAAGTTAATTGTGTTACCTTGGATAGTCAAATTAAAGTTTCATAATGTTTAATAGTATTAAAAGCATCCACCTGTAGGCTTGAAAGGTGGATCCTACACTTCTTCCTCCTCTTCTGGATGTTGGACCAGAATACTGTGCAGGTTCTTCTAAGCTAGCAGGAGAAGCTAATGTTGTTGTGTGACTGAGTATTGAGCAGCTGGTTCGTTTCTCCAGCAGGTATCCCACCAGGTGAAGATGATGGTGGACAACAAGGGGCCCTCAAGAGGTTTAGTGCCATGTGGTCCTCCTTCCGCAAAGGCAAAAGAGATAGTGAGTATTAACTAACCGCATCACAGAAACATGATTCACTTGGACCTTAGTGCTGAATATTTGGGCACATTGTGAGGAGGGGTCCCTAAAGCCTCCCCTGCTTCCTGGTCTCTGTTCCTCTAAATGGGACCATAATTTACTAAATGAACATCATGCTGTGTTGAATAAGTCTTGAAACTAGCGACTGAGACCATAAACTCATTAGGAAAGTGTTTACTGAGGGAATAAATCAGCAGCCTCATTTTCTCATAGACTTCTATTCAATCACACTTCTTTTAGTGGAGTCGCCCCCTGCTGGCTGTTAGAGAGAATGCAGGTTTAAGTTACTTCAGCACTGGCTTCACTTTTCAGAGAGTTGTTTTGAAAAGATCAGAACTGACCTTACAAACAGACACCAGGTGCTCTCATTTGGTGAACAGCGAGACAGTGGCGTCTCCTCCTCGCTGTAACGCCACAGGAAGCGCTGGTTAAATATATTTTTGTTGCTTCTAGAGTACACAAACTACTCAATCTACTGGAGTGTTTTTACCCAAACTCAGCTGAGAGTTAGCCACAGACTCTGTTCCAATGAACAGGTTTTTCAGGAGGAACATATTTTTGTATTGATCTGGCTTTGTAAAGCAAACAAAGCCTAAAGACCATCAAAGCACACAGAGGCAGAGTATTCATGCAGTGTTAGAGGGTTTGAAGGCCTGAAACACAGAGACACAAGGCTGCTGAGCTGAGGACAAACTCTTGCTGGTTGCTTTTATTTTAGACAAAGGAGGAGGAATGCAGCAGAGAACACAAGAGCAGGCAGCAGAGAAGGAGATAAGTGGACTCTGAACACAGCAGCAGAGGCGTCTGTAGACTGTGTTGGACTGTAAATAAATTATCCAGCACAATGACAGACCCAAAGAGACGAGAAATATAACTACAGTGTATTCAACACTTCCTTTCACCAACCACACTGTAACACAACTACAAGCTGTGACGTGCTAACAACATACAATAATTCAAATTTATTTACTCAGCTCCAGAAACAGAAGGCATCTCACTGCACTTTTAGAGCAGGTCTACACCATACATTTTTTACACAGACGCAACAGTTCCCGCTGTGAGCAGCACTTGGCCACAATGGGAAGGAAAATCTCCCTTTAATAGGCAAAAACATGGGGCAGAACCAAGACTCTGGGGCTGCCAAGAGAACACAGCAGCAGCACAAATATCAATACAAGTAATAGTAATGATGATATCAGTAGGACTAGTAATAATAACTGGAGCAGTGAACTGGAGCAGGAACATGGTGGCAGCAGGAAGCCTGCAATCACAGATCCAGATGCATGCATTAATGGTATGAGGTTGCATACTGAGAGAAAGAAAGAGGAGGAGAGGGAGAGAAAGAGGAGGAGAGCAGAGGTCAGTGCATCATGGGAGGTCTCCCGGCAATCTAGACCTATCTATAGCAGCATAACTAAGGGATTGTTCAGGACTCACCTGAGCCAGTCCCAACTATAAACTTTATCATAAGATGGATAAGTTGTCACAGTGAGGATGCCAGGTTTAACTGTACAGAGACCAGAACACTGGGTGGATACACTGTTGGACAAGAAATAGATCCAGCAAGTTAGCTACCTCTTAAAGCACAAAGTTTTTTGTCTGTTTGCAGATTAAACAGACTCAGCATGTTAGTCAGTGAGCTTTAGAGCTGCTGGTGTGTTTTAGATCTCTAGACAGAGCCAGGCTAGCAGTTTCCCCCGTTCCCAGTCTTTAAGCTAGGCTAACCACACCCTGACTGCAGCTCTGTACTGAAGACTGAGAACCATCTGACCCTCAGAAGGTGTTCCTTAATCAAACAACACAAACAGTAAATAAGGGAGGGTGGGGGTTTGTCGTGTCCTTCATCAAAGGAATACTTTAGATTTACCATCTCATTTGAAGCTAGGGTTTTTTTTCCAGTGCACTTCTGTGAGCAGGGAAGAAGTGCTGATCTACAGAGGCCTGGAAACCTTTCCAGCTGGATCACAGTGGGAACCCCCAGTGCTAAAGCACAATGTGTTTCTGTGTAGGAGTCAGAGATGCTGAGCCTACAGAGCCGCCGGCCCCGGTTGTGGCAGACACATCCAGGCAGCACCGCTTCGGCAGCGGGCAGTACTTCTTCGAGTATCTGGTGGTGGTCAGCCTCAAGAGAACCAAGGACGGCAGCGGCTACGAACCTCAGATCACCTACCAGTTTCCCAAGGTCAGTCTGACGGTGGAACGGATATCCAGCAGGTCAGTGCTGTCCACCTGAGACAGAGCACTATCTGCTTGTAACTCAATCCAAGAATAACCAAATTATCATCTTATCGGTCTATTAATCTGCTGGAGATGGTTAAACGAGTGTAAAATCACTTGAACTGAGGTTTCTTGCAGGAGAGTTTGTCCCCACTGTGAAGCAGGAAACACTCATGTTCATGTTATGTGATGAAAGAACAGAGGTTTGTGTGTTGTGACTTTCAGAGGGACGGGATGGCGAGGTTTCAGAAGGAGGAGGAGGAGAAGACGCTGAAGGCAATCACTCTCTTCTGTTTCCCAGAGGGCATCAACTGGGCTCCTCTGACTGAGTACCACAGGTACAGCTGCTCCTCCTCTTTACACTTGTGTTCAGGTGCATCAGTACTTGTTCTGAGTTTTCGCATCATCTGTTTCCAGTGAGACCTTCTCCTTCGTTCTGACGGAGATTGACGGCAGCAGGAGAAATGGCTACTGCAGGAGGTTACTGGTCAGTGTGCAGACTGAAGCTGTCTTCACATTTAGAGGCATCCTCACTCTGTTTATGAAATGTCCTCTCTGTTTGCTCTGCAGCCTCGAGGGAAAGGAGCTCGACCACCTGAGGCTTACTGCATCATAAGCTCGCTGGCTTGTTTCGGCCTCTTCTCCAAGGTGAGTTCACCTGAGTGTTTCTAGAAGAGGAAGTCTGTTTCAGAGTCTTTTATATTTCTTAACCTGACTACCCTAAGCTCTGCTTCTCTATTAACATTAGAAAAATATCAAACTGTCTTTTAGAAACTAGTTTTGTGTTTGTGGACTTCATGTCAGCATTTACGACTGTTCCTTCATTAATCACCTGGTTGATCACCTGTGATAAATACCTGGCAGGTGCACACTTGGTCAATAAAACTAGCTTGTAACTTGGTTGGCTTCATATTGAAGTGAAACCTAAATATCAAAAGGAAAATCCTACGACATATTTATTGATAAATATTGTATGTGAGAGGAGCTCTGTGGTTACCTCAGTGTGTCCAGGGCGTCTCATCTGTTTGGATTAGACACACCTGTTGTCGGGTGGTTTTCTGTTGTTTAGTGTTTAGTGACGTGTGTCACTGGCTGTAAACGCAGCCTGAAGGTCGACTGGAGCGGATTGTTGCTGTGAATAACTGATTGGCTGAATTAAAGCTTTACAGTCCTCTGAAAGTTTCTGGGAATTCGGGGGTTTCAGTAACATGGCGGAAGTTTACATTTAAATGTGACTACTTAAAGGCCATAAAAATATAAATCAATGATTCAGTTTTCCGGCAGTGTGGATTAGAAACAGCCTTAAGACCTTCATGTTTCATGTTTTGCTAAATTCAGTGTAACGTACATTTCACTGCATTTATTCCACCATTACAACAATACGTCGCCGTTCTGCTGGCTGGAGTTTTATTTCCACTCGCTGTTAAGCTTTTATTTCAGGACTTCTGAGACTCTATAAAGACTGAGATGTGTTGTATTATATTTACTGGTGCTGCATTGTGACTGTGTGTGTGTGTGTGTGTGTGTGCAGATATTTGACGAGGTGGAGAAGCGGAGGCAGATCTCCATGGCCATGATCTACCCATTCATGCAGAAGCTGAGGGAGGCTTCGTTCCCAGCTCCAGGACACACTGTGGAGATTAAGAGCTTCATTCCTGAGTCGGGCACTGAGGTCAGATCAAACCCCTGCTTCTTCTGCTCACATATAGTTTGATGATGCAGATATTTTACTGCAATGAAAGACTCAGATCAACAGAGGCAGAAGTTCAAAACGATTTCTGATGCAACACAAAATGTACAATGTGATGCATCTTAAGGGCGGCTTAAGAGCTATTCCGCCACTTAGGCTCAGTGTATGAATGTGTATGACTGGTGAATGCAGATGTAGTGTAAAAGCGCTTTCAGTATATAATAGTTATAATTTTCTTTAATCTCAGAACGTGGCGACATCTCAAACAAGAAGTTCCGATGCACAAAGACACGTGAGCAGTCAGGTGGTCAGACAGGTTGGAAACAAACCTCCGAGTTAGACAAACTTTTTAGAGAAAGTGTAGTTGAACA